CTGAGGATTGAACCCAGGGGCACTCTACCACTGAGCTACATCCCTAGCTCTTTTCATTTTATTTATTATTTTCTTTTTTATTTATTTGTTCTTTTTAGTTATATATGACAGCAGAATGTATTCTGACATCATACATACATGGAGTAAAACTTCCCATTCTTGTGGTTGCTTATAATGTGGAGTTACACTGGTCATGTATTCATATTTGAACACAGGAAACTGAAGTCCTATTTACTGGACATTCCCATCAGCTCTTCCTTTCCCCTATTCCCCCAGTATTTTTAAAAATTTGAAACAGGATATAACTAAGTTGCCCAGGCTGACCTTAAATTTACAATCCTCCTACCTCAGCCTCCTAAATTACTGGGGTTACAGGTATGGCCATTGAACTGGGCACTGAATTTGCATTTTCTAGAAATTTACAGCACTGGAATTTCATAATGCGTACCTTTGTCTGCTGGCTCATTTTCTTAAATATTGATGTTTTGAGATTCATTCATGATGCTGTGTGAGTTCATGTTCCTTCTTTATTATTCCTGAACTGTATTCCATGGTATAGATGTTTGTTGATTCACTGTGAGAGAGAGAAAGTCCAGTGGTCCATTTTCAAAATATAGTATTTAGCTTTAAATGTAAAAGTACTGAGGATGGAAGAAAAGGGAAGAGGAAACAGAACAAATGGTTGGGCTGGGGATGTGGCTCAAGCGGTAGCGCGCTTGCCTGGCCTGCGTGTGTCCCGGGTTCGATCCTCAGCACCACATACAAAGATGTTGTGTCCGCCGAAAACTAAAAAATAAATATTAAAAATTCTCTCTCTCTCTCTCTAAAAAAAAAAAAAAAAAAAGCAACAAATTCTTAAAAAAAAAAAAAAAGAACAAATGGTTACCAGCCCTTAACATCTGGGTGTGACAGATCCACAGCCCCTTCACAAACAAGAGGTGAGGAGAAGGGGCTGGCCTGAGGGACAAAGGTAAACTTCATATATGGTGGCTTTCCAGAGAACAAAGGGAAGTAGGGACAGCTAAAGGTACATTTCTTTAAATAAACCAACAGGAGACAGCAAAACCTAGGTAGAGCTCCGCCCCTCTGGGCCGCAGCCTCCTAGGGAGAGTACTGTGGCCACTTAGGCCCTCTACCCATCCTGCTGGAACTTCCCATGGGGCCAGCTCCATCTTGAACTGTAAGCTCCACGATGCAGGACTTTCAGTGCAGGTACCCAGCCCTATGCGGCCCTCAGTGCTGGCTGGCTGGTGCCCACTTTGGAAACAGACCCTCATTTACCTACTCAAACTATCTTTAAGTCTTTGTGGTAGGCTGGGGCATAGCTCAGTGAGAAGGCGCCTGCCTAACACGTATGAAGCCCTGGTCAATTCCCCATGCCCTCAAATTGACTTATAAAGATGACAAGGAAATAGGTGGGGAGCTGCTCATGGTGGCCACACCTGTAATTCCAGTGACTCAGGAGACTGAGGCAGGAGAGTCACAAGTTTCAGGACAGCTTAGACAATTGAGCAAGGTTCTAAGTAACTTAACAGACCACAAAGAAGACATGGCAGGTCTGAACAGCTGACTGAGCTGGACAGTGTTGATTTTAATGTTTTTTTAATTAAAAAATTTTGATTCTCGAAAACATGTTTTTTGTTTTTGTTTTTCTTTTTTTAAAAAAAAATACAACAGTGGAATGCATTACAATTCTTATTACACACATAGTGCACAATTTTTCGTATCTCTCTATATAAAGTATGTTCACGCCAATTTATGCGATTATACATGTACTTCGTTTTTGTTTTGGCATTACAATTCTTTTTTTAATATATTTATTTTTTAGTTGTAGTTGGACACAATATCTTTATTTCATTTAAGTGGTGCTGAGGATCGAACCCAGGGCCTCGAACATGCTAGACGAGTGCTCTACTACTGAGCCACAACCCAGCCCCTGCATTACAATTCTTAATACACATATATACCACAATTTTTCTTATCTCTATTGGTATATAAGGTATGTTGACACCCAATTCAAGTCTTCATACATGTACTTTGTATAATGATGACCATCACATTCCACCATCCTTGATAATCCCCTGCCCCCTCACTTTCCCTCCCACCCCTCTTCCCTATCTAGAATTAATCTAATCCTCCTATGTTCTCCCTCCCTATCCTACTATGAGTCACCCCGCTTTTTTGGTGCTGGGGACTGAACCCAGGGCCTTGTGCATGCAAGGCAAGCACTCTACCAACTGAGCTCTATCCCCAGCCCTGTTTTTCATTAAAAAAAATTTTTTATTAGTTTTTGATGGATCTTTATTTTATTTATTTATTTATATACGGTGCTGAGAATCGAATCCAGTGCCTCACACATACTAGGCAAGCGCTCCACCACTAAGCCACAACCCCAGCCCTGTTTTTCATTTCTTATGTTGCCTTTTTTTCTTTCAGAGTTATAGATATGAGTTTATTAGAAGGAATAGGAAAGGGGAAGGGGTACACTCTCAAGGGAGAGGGCGGGTCCTCTCAGAGGACAGGAACCTGTGCCTTTCATCTTTCACACAGTGACCTTTTGTGTGTATGAGGGGTTGAACTCAGGATTAACCACTGAGACACATTCCAGCTCTTTTTTTTTTTAAAGCTTTTTAATTTACTGACTTAAATTTTTTAGTTTAAGTCAGGCGCTTGCTATTTTTCTGAGGCTGGCCTTGAACTGGAGACCTCCCTGCCTCAGTTTCTGGAGTAGCTGGGATCACAGGCGTGGCCGTTTAGCAGGAAGGTGCATACTTTCCACGTGGTGGTTCCACTTGGGCAGGTCTACCAGGTAAGCAATGGACATTTTTCCAGCACTGGCATGCAGGAGCACCTGTCCCTCAGAATCTAGCACCTAGGATCAGAGGGAGCTGTTACCTTACCTACACCCCATTTACAAAGGCTGATCCTTCATTACAACTGCCTCTGAGGCTGCTACCTGGCTAAAGCCCAGCTCTTGACAAAACTGGGGGTGATTTTTTCTTTGAATGTAGCATCTTCCTCATGGATGGACACATCTCTTACAAGAAAATGGCAATAAGGTTTGAGAAGGGAACCCCTCCTTACCTTTTTGTTTTCTAAAAGAGATTTGGAACATTACAGTTATACATAATAGTAGGGTTCATTTTGACATATTCATAAAGGCACATAACAGTTTTTTTCATTTCAATCCCCCTGGACTACCTCCTTCTCTCTCTTCCTTGGTCTGTTACCCTTCCTCTACAATATTGGTCATTTATTCATTAATTGATGCATTATAGTTACATTTAAGATTGGAACGCACTGTGGTATATTCATACATGCACCTAGAATAATTTAGTCAATTTCATTCCCCTGCTCTTCCTTCCAGCCCTTCTTTTCTCCCCTTGGTGTACTTCTACTGTACTAATCTCCCTTCTATTTTTGAGACCCCCCCCCTTTCTTTATTTAGCTTCCACTTATGAGAGAAAACATTTCACCCTTGACTTTGAGTCTCATTTTTCTTTTCTCAAAGCCAGACTCACCAAGTCTGGTGCTACATGTTGGGAATTTTGCCATGGGAGATGATTCAGTTAATTAGCAGGCTCCTGGTGTGTACACCTGGAAGCATGTTCAGTTCCTTTGTTTCTTGCCAAAGCTGTTTAGGAAACCACACCTGGAGCTGTTGGCCAAGTGTGAAAAATATTGCTCACACTCGTTCAGGAACGCTAAATTTGGCTACACGCTGGGGGCAGGGGATGCTCACCTGTTCTGCCACTGCCATGCCTGGTGTCCATGAACCTGTCCCTTTGATGACAGTGACACTAGGGACAGAGGCCACTTGCTAACGACAGCCAAGGGCTTGGGAGGCTGACCAGAGAGATGAGCTCCTCATGCCTGTAATCCCAGAAGCTACTGAGGCTGAGACAGAAGGATCGCAAGTTTCAGGCCAGCCTCAGCAACTTAGAGTTAATGCCATTTTCTCGCTAAGCAACTTAGGAAGACCCTGTCTCAAAAAAAAAAAAAAAAAAAAAAAAAAAAATATATATATATATATATATATATATATATATATATATAAATATATATATATAAAAGGCTGGGGATGTGGCTCAGGGGCAAAGCGCCCCTGGGTACTCCTCCCCGCCAAAATAAAAATCCCGGGAACAAATTTAAAACGAGGGCCTCAGCCCGTCGCCGCGCGTGCTGAGGTGCGAGTCAGGTGGCCCGCACTCTCGGGAAGGTGCCCCGTCTGCCTCCCGCGAGACCTCTGCAGCAACTCGACCTCTGCGCGGCGCCTGCAGTGCAGGGCTCCCTACACCTACCTGGGAGCCCGGAGTGAGCGCCTCTGCTGGCCCTTTGGGGTCGTCACGTGCAAGGACTTTCTGTCAGTCACCCGCACCACCCAGACTGCTACCAGATCCCAAATGCCACATCCAGATCCCGCCAAGACTCGCATCCGCCCTGCCCCCGCCGCCGTCTTTATATCCCGCTGGCGGGGCGGGGACACAGGCGCGGCGCGCTGACGTCAGCCGCATGGGGCGGGGCCGTGCGACATCACGCTCGGTACCTCAGCATCTCTCGCCCGGTCCTCTATCCTCCGCTCGGCCATCGGCCCCGCGGCCGCCCGCCCTCCGCCCTCCGGCCGCGCCGCCGCCATGGTTCCGCGCCCGCCGCGCCGCCGCGCCGGGGGCCGCTGAGGCGCGGGCAGGATGGGCGAGGGCGGAGCAGGGCCCGAGCGCCAGCCCGAGCAACCCGGGCGCCCCGCGCGCGCCCGCCCGCGCCGCCGCGGGGATGCCCGCGCCCGCCGCCGCGCCCTGAGCGCCTTTGTCTGCCGCCCGCGCCCGCCGCACGCCTAGCTTGGCCCGGCCGGAGCATGGAGCCGGGCCGGCCGGCCTCCCCGCCGGGCCGCGGCGAGCCGGCGAGCGGGGCCGCGGAGTCGGGGGACCGTGCGCTCTGCGCGCCCTCCCGCCGCGGCCCGTGCCCAGCTCTCGCGCGCGCGGTGGGCGAGCGGCCGCAGGGTCGTCCCGGCCCATCCGCTGACCCCAGCTCCGCGCCGCCGCCACCTGGCGAGCCCGCGGCCGGCCTGGAGGACGACGCGCGCCTCCGCGCTGTGTTCGACGCCCTGGACGCGGACGGGGACGGCTTCGTCCGCATGGAGGACTTCGTCCAGTTCGCCACCGTCTACGGGGCAGAGCAGGTAACCGGCCGGCCTCGCTCAGCTCGGGTGGCGTTTCCTTTCTGGGCTGAGTTCCCCGGATCAGGACCTGCACCAGCAGCGTGCGTGCTGGGCCCCCGGTGCACACCTTGGGCCGCTGGAAGGAGCACCGCAGAGGCCAGACCCTTAGCCGCCTGTTTGGAGCGTGGTGGCTGCTGTGCATGCTTGGCACTGGTCCTTCTAGATTTCGTCTTTTCTAGTCTGGGAGACAGCGCTTACTGAAGGAATAAAAAATGTTCCTTTCTGTACCTTCTGTGAGCAGTTGCAGGAAGGGAGGAGCGGGAGCCCAAGGCCACGTGCCAAGTGTAGCAGAACTCCACCAGGGCCTTGTCCACCTTTGCGATAGGGGTGCGATGCTCAGCTGGACTGCGGATGCCAGGGTCCCACACACACCGCCTGTGGCTGTTGGGGACACTGATCTCAAGACTGAGCTCTTCCTGTCTTCCTCACCACTTGCTGGAGTTCAGGTGGAGGTGACATCAGGCTGTGTGTGTTCTTAAGACTCGGAGACATCAACCAGGAGACCATGTTCACTTTTAAAGGTTTGCTCCAGTGGTAGGAAATCCCCAAAGTGCTGATCATGTTGTTCGTTTCTTACACATGCAAACATTTGTTAAGTGGGTGTTCAAATACATATGGGTGTTGGAGCCAGGAGTCTTCAAGAGGTAAAATTGACACACTGATGCTGAGGGTGTCAACCATAACTCTTTTTTTGGGGCGGGGTGGTACTGGGGATTGAACTCAGGGATACTCAACACTAAGCCACATCCCGACCCTATTTTTTATTTTATTTAGAGACAGGGTCTCACTGATTTGCTTAGCTGCTCCATTGCTGAGGCTGGCTTTGAACTCACCATCCTCCTGCCTCAGCCTCCTTATTCGCTGGGATTACAGTGGTGCCCCATCACCGAGCCCCGGCAACATTAAGAACTCAATCCCAGCGACTGGGGAGGCTGAGGGAGACCATCGTGAATTCAAACCCAGCCTCAGCAATTTAGTAAGGCCCTAAGCAATTCAGTAAGACCCTGTCTTCAATAAAATATTAAAAAGGGCTGGGGTTGTGGCTCAGTGGTTAAGCATCCCTGGGTTCAATCCCTGGTACCAAAAACATAAACAACAACAAAAAAAAGAACTAAAAAGAAACTCTTAAGGGGCCCATGTATCCCCCCCTTTACCCCAGTACCCACAGTACCATTGAGGCCTACAACCTCCTGCACATCAGTATGGAGGTTGGCCAGGTGCTCACCTGCTTAACTCTGGGCTGCACTATATTGTTTGGGTGGGTCTAGTTGGCAGAAATGTGTCACTGATGACTTTCTGTGGAGGTAGCTGAATTGTGGTTGCTGGCCCAGGTTCTTTTAAGAACCTTCTTGCCACTGGTGATGTGTCTCTCCCCAAACTTCCTCTTGCTTCCTTAACACAGAAATGTCAGGCCAGCTGCACATCTGCTTTTCTTTACCTGACTGCCCATTTGTGTTTTCACTGAATAGGTGCCATGGTTCTCCAAGGTGGGAACTGGGCAAGCAGGATTCATCCCCACTTTGCAGCTCACATGCTTGGAAGCCCAGAAGGCTATGTAGCTCTCCCAGAGACCCACAGATAGTGCTAGAGCAGGGAAAGAACTAGGTCTATTGGCTCTTCACCCATAGCTGGCTTCTTAGGTGTGGTGGCTCAGAGTATGTTCTGCCAAGTTTCATCATACTGACTTCTGTGAAATTCTCTTTAGAAGCATTTTTTTTTTTTTTTTTGTCATGATCTTCCCAGCTGATCTCGGTGGAACAAATTTTGGATTTCTGTTTGGGACTGACCTTGTAATCACAAAGTAGAAATGGGTCAGAATTCTTTGCTTGATGGTTCCTGGTGGAACCTGAAGAGGGGGTGAGTGCGTGTCTCAGCACTTGATGGGTTGGGAGTGTGGAGGGGATCTTGTGGTGTGGTCTTCTGTCTGTTCTCTCACTGCTTATAAGAAGCAGTACAGGCTGATTTAGGTGCCCAGAACTGGATAATTTTTCAGGGTGGTCGTGAGAAGCTCTCCATTGCTTTGAGCTATCTTAGTTACTATTTTGGATCAGATAATGTACAGTGTAATGAGAGGTTGTTTTTTTTTTTTTTTTATTTGTGCATGGTTTAGTAGCCTTCATTACCACCCAGGTTTGCTTTTTTTTTTTCCCAGTCCCAAGTCAGAAGACATTATAGAGGAGCAAAGACCAGAAATATTTGATAGTGGGATAGTTTAGAGAAAAGTGGGAGTGGTACCCCTCATGATAGATATCTTTTTTTTTTTTTATGTATAGACCTTTATTTTATTAATTTATTTATATGTGGTGCTGAGGATCGAACCCAGTGCCTCACACATGCTAGGCAAGCGCTCTACCACTGAACCACAACCTCAGCCCATGATAGATATCTTGAGTTCTATTTATTTATTTATTTGGTGCTTGGAATTGAACCCAGAGTTACTTTACCATTGAGCTGTGACCTTCTTTTTTTTTCCCCTAAGTTTTGGGACAGAGTCTCACTAAGTTGCTGAGAGTTTTACTAAATTGCTGAGGCTGGCCTCAAACTTGCAATCCTCCTGCCTCAGCCTCTTGAATTGCTAGGACTACAGGCATGTACCACCAAACCTAGTTTACTTAAAAACTCTCTTTTTTTGGTACCAGGGATTGAATTCAGGGTCACTCAACCACTGAGCCACACCCCCAGCCCTATTTTGTATTTTATTTAGAGACAGGGTCTTACTGAGTTGCTTGGCGCCTTGCTTTTGCTGAGGCTAGCTTTGAACCCATGGTCCTACTGCCTCAGCCTCCAGTAGCCACTGGGACTACAGGCATGCACTACTACGCCCAGTTTAAAAACTTTTAAAAATGGAAACACATGCTAAATTAGACAGAATAGTTTAGTGAGCTCCCAAGCCTTTGCTTAGTCTCCACAGTTTCAGCAATCTGGCTTTATCTATAAACTCTTCCTTCTCCCTTTTTTTCGGTACTGGGGATTGAACCCAGGGGCACTTTACCACCAAGCTACGTCCCCAGCCCTTTTAATTTTTATTTTGAGACAGGGAGGGGCTTGCTAAGTTTTTAAGGCTTTCCTTGAACTTGGCATCATCTTGCTTCAACCTCCCAAGTCACTGGGAGGAAAGGCATGTGCTGCTTTGCCCAGTTCCTCCCCTGTTTTGTTTTGTTTTTTAATTTTTGGTACAGGGGATTGAACCCAGGGGAGCTTAACCACTGAGCACACTTCCAGCCCTTTTTTGTATTTTATTTAGAGACAGGGTCTTGCTGAGTTGCTCAAGGCCTCGCTAATTTACTAGGGCTGGCTTTGAACTCACAATCCTGCCTCAGCCTCCTGAGTCACTGGGTGGGCACCAGTGCGCCCAGGACCTCCCTGTATTTTTGAAGCATATTCCTGACATCATGTAGTTGCATCCATAAATACTTCAGTATATATATCTAAAAGATAAGGGTTCTTTTTTAAAGGTTCATCACTTTTCTAAATCCCTAGGGACAGTTCAGATAAGCCAGATAATAACAGTAAAGACCATAAATTTCTGTACTTAGGATTTCAAAATACTGACTGTGTGAGACTCCTAGGCCAATCACATTATTGTCTTTGATGGTAGCAACTCAGTTATCTTGGGTTTTGTCTAATTTTCAGAGGCAGCATGTCCAGTGTCTTTTGTGTAGCCTGTTTATGAAGGCAGGATTTAAATTATTTAAGTGGGTTATCTGAATCTTTAATCGGAGTGGCTCCCATTTATAATACAGACAGCTGCCTTGTCCCTCTTTCTGAGCAGCATCAGGGCGTTTGGGTCTCCTTATTTCAGCTGGTGGATCAAGTGTGGTGTAACATGACCCAGTGTTAGGTTTGTGTGGAGATAAAAGGGGGAAAGAGCCACAGTGGAGGGTTATGGTTGCATGTTGAAGCCAGGATTTATAGTCAGATGTGCCTGGGAAGTGGGTGTGAAGTTCAAGGCCTTGACTTCTCTGAAGGTTCCTCATTGACAGGAGCCCTCACACTGAGGGGGCTGATGCCTTGATAATGACCACCAACCTGTCATGCAGTGGAGGTCCTAATGTGAAATCTGCGTGTGGGGAGGGGTTGGTTCCTTTCTGTTCTGCCTTCTGAAAGGAATTAGTTATAACCCTAAAGACTTTCTTCACATTTGATTTTTATTCTCACTTAACCTATTGCATTTTAGTAGTCAGTGATTCTTCTCAGAAAACTGCCACTGAGTGCTGAGCACCCTTCAGTAATCTTGGTGGGTATTGCCTATCCTCCTCAGTGCTTGCAGGAGTGGGCTGGTGAAGGAGTGTCCACCTGCTGGTCTCCTGTTTCCCATTCTTGCACCCTTGCCAGTGGGCAATTGGCAATTCCTGGGGATACTGGATTGTGCCTTTCCTTGCTTCAGTGTTCTTTCTAGTCTCTACCCTGACTTTGGACTTGAGTGTGAGTATGTGAATGAGAGTATGTGTGTGTGGACTAGGCTGTGAGTGGAAGTGAAGTGTATGAACTTGTGTGAGCCAGCAGGTGTGTATAACTCTGGGTCTGGGTGTCGACAGAATTGCCAAGGGGCAGTTGAAGTTCCTGATTGGGCTTGGGTTATCACGGCATTGTGTCTCAAAAAATGCCTTTCTGTGGCCAGGCCCAGTGACACATTCCTGAAATCTGAGACTTGGGAGGCTGAGGCAAAAGGATGGTAAGTTCAAGGCCAGCCTGGGCAACTCAGTGAGACCTTGTCTCAAAATAAAAAATAAAAAGGGGCTGGGGTTGTGGCTCAGTAGTAGAGTGCTTGCCTAGCATATGTAAGGCACTGGGTTTGATTCTCAGCCCCACATATAAATAAATAAAATAAAAGTCCATTGATAACTAAAAAATTAAAAATAAATAAATATATAAAAAGGTGTGGGGTTGGGCTCAAGCCTCATTACTGAAGGCACATGCATGCACGCACACACAGACACAAACTAGTACTGGAGTGTGGC